TGACTTGAGAGAAAATAGCTCTAGGCTGATTTTTTTAAGGTTTATGAGTATTTTGTTAATATTTATTTTTGTTTATTTATTTATTTGGCTGTGCTGGATCTTATTTGCAGCACATGGGACCTTTGATCTTTGTTGCAATGTGTGGTATCTTTAGATGAGGCATGTTGGATCTAGTTCCCTGACCATGGATAGAACCAGGGCCCCCTGCATTGGGAGTGCAAAGTTTTAGCCACAGGACCACCAGGGAAGTCCCTGAATATTTTTTTTTTCTTTTTACCTTCCACTCCACTCCTGGGATTTATTTGAAAATATATATTTACTGAAGTCTGTTCCCTGCCCTTTTCCCTCCTTTCTTCTTTCCCTTCTCATGACTCTGGTTCTCTGAAGTTTTGGGAGCCAGTAGAGTTTCACGTAGGTCTCCCCTTCCTTCCCTGCCTTTCTAGAGCATGAATGGTCACCTCTAATGTGATGGTTTATAGACTGTGAGCCTCTTTGGTCTGATATGGAAAACTCCTGTTGACATTGATTCTACCAGAGACCAAGAATTACAGACTGCCCTGCCTGCTGGACCAAGCTGTTTCCCTTTCCCTCTGCATAGCAAGCTCACAGAACCCACCACCCACATACCCCACTCTCTCCCCAAGGCACCAACACCCATACTGGTGGTCTCCAACCTCGTTTTGAGTCTCTGTGTGAAGAAATATTTCCAGCAGGTCCTGAGCTCTCTAGGTGTGGTAGAGTCAGTCTCACAAGTTGCCTTTCAAAGGCCAGGTATATTATTTCCACCTACTGGCCAAAATGCTTTTATTAAAATGAAATAGCGCATATAAAGAACATAACTCCAGCCTAGTACACAGAAAACTCTCAACAAATGTTAGTGCCCTTTATATTTATGTTATTTTTCCAGCCACTGTTTATTTAGGGGTATTTATAAGGGAAGAAAAAAGAAATCAGTTATATCAATTGGCAAGTAAGGGGTTGAAAGTATCAGTGAGAGATCAACTAGGAAAATCTGTACCTACATGCTCCAGATACTGAGAATCCTGTTGTATGTTTTTAAGATATACAGAACATCAACAATAACTATCTGAGAGCTTTCTAGGACCAGGCAAAGTTTCATTTAATCCTCATAAGAATGATTAAAATCCACATTTTACAAATGAACAGAAGCTTAACTAAACAAAGTCCCAAAGTGACAAAGCTAGGAAATGGCAGCAACTAGAATTTAACCCGATGTTTAATAAGCTACTTCCTTAGGTCTAACTGACATCTCTCATGCTGTCTTAGGAGGCTATATCTGCTCTCTCTGTCTCTCTCTCTCTCTCTCTCTGAGATAGACAAATAGACAACAGTTGATCGCCATCATAAGATTAATAACTTTTGCAGTCCTTAAAGGCAATTTTTAGATCGGGTCCCCTGTGCTTCTTCTTGGAAGAAGGAAGGCTCAAGCTTGATACAATCTCTTGCCCTCACTTGAGGTTCCCAGGGAGGAGTTAGCAGGAAAGATGCAATCCTCAGATCTCGCCCAGAGAAGGGCCCACATTGTGTGGTAGTACACAGACCAGAACAACTTGTCTCTCTGACCAAGGTCTCTGACCTGCTGAGATACCCAGAAAGTCCTGTCACTTTATCTGTGAAGTCAGCCTACAGTCAAACTCAGGTTATCTGAGAGGCGAAAAGTGCCACCTTTGAGTCAAACCACCTCTGTTCTAATCCTCTCTGAATAATCTTGAGCAAGTTAATAAATCACTCTTATCCTCAGTTTCCTCACCTGTGAATTGGATCCAATAGTGTCTTCTACAAAAGTGTTGTTTGCAGGATTAAATGAGATGATGCCTGTAAATTAGCTTGACACAGGCTTGATGCGTAACTATACTCATAGTTAATTAACATAGGACTATTGGAAGAGGGAAATGCTATGCCTAAAGGGATAGTACTCTAAAGAATTAGGGAGATATTTGGAAGTCTTTCCAAGAACTTGTAATAAACACCATGCCCTAACTGCTCTGTGCTATGTGCTTAGTCACTCAGTCATGTCTGACTCTTTGCAACCCTATGGACTGAAGCCCGCCAGGCTCCTCTGTCCATGGGGATTCTCCAGGCAAGATTACTGGAGTGGGTTGCCATGCTATCCTCCAGGGGATCTTCCCAACCCAGGGATCAAACCCATGTCTCCCGCATTGCAGGTGGATTCTTTACTGTCTGAGCCACCAGGCAAGCCCCTATCTAAAAGTTTCTACAAAATCTTCCACATACCCTACCCCCGAGCACTTACCAGGGCAGTCCCACAAGAGGCAGAAAACCAATGCTCCTCCTCCTTCTCCCTTCATCTCTTCATGACTCCCAAGGCAACCTTCAAAATCTGTGGGTCTGGCGTCCAGTAAACAGTAGAGAAACGCTGGGCATTTCCTGTCCCAGTGTTCCTCAGGACACGACAGAGATGGGCAAAGCCAACTGCCTCTTTCTCACACTCCTCCCTCCTCCGCCATGTCCACAGGGCCTGAGGTGATGTCACACAATTTCCCAAACATGTCCCTGGGTTCTGCCCAGTCACATCTGCCAGAGAAGGCAGAGATCACTCTATGACATCACTTCCTTGCCTTGCTCCCCAGGGGCCCCATCTGTCTACTCCAAAGCTTGGCTCTAACACTTTGTCCAGATACAATTTTTAGATGCCCCCAAGGAAAAAGGTTCCCACCACTTCTTTTAGACCTTTCTGAACTTCGTGGCCACCACAAGTGAAAATCCCCCAAAAGAGGTTTGATGGTTTGGTTCAAAGAACCCAAAAGAGGAAAAAGAGGAAGTCAGAGAAACACGAGACCTATGTCATATATTTATGTGTTTCCTTATTTAACTCACATTACTGTTCAATGTCAGGCACAATTCTCTCTACATCCTCAGATGCACACTTCCATTATCCATCTTACACTGTGAACTCCAGGAGGACAAAAAAGGCCAGCATCCATTAACTTTATTCTATGCAAGTTCTCCTCCACAATGAATGGTAAACACTGAATTAGTTCTGTTGCTCAAGAGTAGTAGAGGTTACACCAAGATAAAGTTAGCAGGAGCAAACAAAAATAAGAAGCAACAGGGTGGCAATCAATTGATCAAGGGGCCCTGCCAAGAATTTGTCACTGAAGGATCCCCAACTAGGGATTCAGAAAAAGTGTGGAATAAAGCAATGTGTCCATTGCTTTCAGTAGATTCTCAATAAGGTCTAGGACCTAAAAAGATAAGGAACAACTGGGAAGGGATATCACTTTTTCTTTTGAAATTTGGAGGGAACGCAAGGAATAAGATTCATACATATAATATTATTGGCGTGCTAAGTGGCTTCAGTTATGTCCAACTCTGTAGGACCCTATGCACTGCAGCCTGCCAGGCTCTTCTGCTCATGGGATTCTCCAGGCAAGGATACTGGAGTGCGTTGCTGTGCCCTCTTCCAGCAGATCTTCCTCACCCAAGGATCAAACCCGTGTTTCTTACATCTCCTGCACTGGCAGGAGAATTCTTTATTACTAGCACCACTGGGAAGCTTGATATTACAGAGGACATCAATATAATAGTAGTGCTGTTTTTGGATGAGTGTTTTTTATGAGCCAAGTCCCAGGCTAAATCATTACAGACTAAAGTTCCTTTAATTCTTGCAACCACCTATGTTCCTGTGCATTAGCTCAAGAAATAGAAAGCATTATTCCCAAGTGTCAGATGAAAAAATGGAGGCTCAAAGAGTTTATGTAGCTTGCCCAAGGTCACACATCTGGTCAACCAAAGCTAGGATTCAAACTCTGAGTCCATGCCAAGCTGCAGGAATTGATGACCTCAGTGGCATAAAAAGCTGTGGGGGAGGAGTCAAACCTTCAGGCTATGGACCCTGGTTCTGCCCTAGGTAAATCCCTCCCCCTTTCTGGACCTTTGTATCCCTGCATGTAAAATAAGAGAGTGAGACTAAATAAACAAACATTTGATGCAACAGTGTTTACAAAGTATGCAACAGATATTTTCTGTAACGGGTCAAAGAGCAGATATTTTAGGTTTTGCAAGACAGCCTGTCTCTGTTACAGCTCCACAACTCTGTCATGGTACCGTGAAAGCACCCAGAAACATACCCAAGTGAACAGGCATGGCTGTGTTCCATAAAACTTTATGTACAAAAATAGGCACAAGGCTAGATTTGGTCCATGGGATTATACTTTGCTGACCCTGGACCAGATGATCCGTAGGGTCCTTCTGAGTCTGACATTTCAGAAGTCTGGGTCCTGATTGTAGCAGTGGAGCCCAAAGGGACCAATGCCTTGAAAAGTCAGCTGTACAGAGCTTGTTGCCATAACTTTTGTTTTGTTGTGTTTGACGGTGTCAATAAATGTGGTTAGAAAGTAAATTCTGGGGCTTCCTGGTGGTTCAGTGGTGAAGAATCTGCCTGCCAATGCAGGAAACACGAGTTTGATCCCTGGTCTGGGAAGATCCCACATGCCATAGAACAGCCAAGCCTGTGTGCCGCAACTATTGAGCCTGTTCTCTAGAGCCCAGGAACCACAACTACTGAGCCCATGCCCCCTAGAGCCTGTGCTCTGCAACAAGAGAAGCCACCACAATGAGAAGCCTGCGCACTGCAACTAGAGAGAAGCTCTCACTTGCCGCAACTAGAGAAAAGCCCCCACAGCAATGAAGACCCAGCACAGCCAAAAATAAATAAATGAAATTATATAGACACACACCCACATTAAAAAAGAAAGAAAGCAAAACCATTGCTCAGGAAAAAAAAAAAAGAAGTAAATCCTGGCAGTGGCAATACAAAGCAGCTCAGAAGAGCTTTAGATCCAGCAAAATCTCCATTGACACCTGATGTGGATAACTGTTAATACATCTGTCTTGTGAAGAGCATGGTGCAAACACAGCTGTGTGCCCGCTTTTAAGCCAGACTGCAACCCAAAGACCATTTCTTGAGAAATGTGGGGGCCACCACAGATTTCTGAACAAAGTGATGGGCAAAGCCCATGGATGATAATGGCACAACCAGAATCTCTCAAGAAAACGGCATGCGCGCCCCTTCACCCTCTCTCTGTAGCACTGTGAGTCGGTGTTGGTGACCCCTTTACCTTGTCCCACAGGAGAAGCTGCTAGGGCACAGGGCATAAGGAAGAAAGGACATGTTCTTGGTTCCAGACTCAATAGGCTTTTCACACTCTGTGCTTTGACCCCCTTAAACCCAACCCCACCCCACCCCCAGTTCAGGGCTCCTGGGCTCTCCCGGACCATGTGATGTGATTTTAGCCCCTGGTGACTTGGCAATTAATCTTCACCAGCTTACTGCAAAGGGCTGCTCTGAGCTCTCTCTCTCTCTCACTCGCTTACCAGGAGATGCGGTGCAACTAGAATATCTGGGCTGGGGGAATCGTTGCTCACCAAAGATTGACAAACTATAATCACCAGAGAGAAAGGCAAGTTTGCCCTGAGGGAGCTGAAATCCCTCACTCCTGGGAGCCTCTGGCCTGCTGTCTTTGGAGGCAGAGGATGCCTCGACTGCAGCCAGGGTCTCCTGCTCAGAAGAAAGGGTGCTTCTCCTCTCCCTCCTGGGCCACAGCAGGGACAGAAATCCTCCTTCAGGTCCCCGGAGACCCTAGTGTAACTCATGAAGCAGAGGCCTCATGCCTCCAATTCTTTTTTCATTTCAAGTTTCATTTACTGGGTACTCTGTATTCCAGCTGTGCCACCTGCCAGGTGTCGCCTTGGGCAACCACTCTGAGACTGAGTTTGCTCATCTCTACAATGTCAATAATAACAGCATCTATAATATTATTATCAGAATTAAACCAGAAAATGTACATAAGGCATTTGGGGCACAATGTCTACTCTAGCACGTGGTAAGCACTAAACTCTTGGTTGATAGACTATTACACTGCGCTAGGCACTTCACACAGTGTCACATTTAATCCCCACCTCAGTCCTCTGAGACAGGCATTATTATGATCTTCATGTCACAAATGAGGAAACCACAGTTCAGAGTGGTTACGTGACTTGCCCAAGGACACACAGCTAATAAATTAAAGGGCCTGGAACATAAACCCTGGTCTCTTTGGTGCCATTGTTCAGACTCTTAGTTACTTTACTAGCCTGCCCAAGGTCACATTAGCAGCTACTAAATAAAGGAAGCAGGATTAGTCACCAAGTTGGCGCTTAGATCTTCAGCAGACTGAGTGCTGGCCTGGGAAGCAAGAAAGCCTGACCCAAGGAGCTCCTCTACAGATCCTTCTCACCCGGACAGCTCTGCCATGCCGTCCCTTGCCTGACCTCTGCCTCGCTCAGGAACCTGATCACATTCTATCTTTTACTGTAATTTCCTTCAGGGCTAACACTGAACCTTCTGCTGCCTTTTTTTTTTTCAGTCTCAGTCTGATGCAGAAAGAAGGATGTAAGCTTTGGAGCCAGACAACAATGCTTTGAATACTCATGCTGCTTATTCATTGAATGAGTTTGGCCATGTCAGGACCTCTCTGAACCTCAGTTTCCTCATATGTAAAATGGGGATATTTCCTACCTCGCATTGTTGTAAAGATTTGAGTAAGTGCACACAGAGCACCTAAAACAGTGCCTGCCACAGAGTAGGTCCTCTCTGAAGGGCGCTTTACCATCATCATCATCTCCTATGGCACTTAGCTCAGTCTAGGTTAGTATTTGCTTGATTTGATTCAACTTGATTCACCCACAGTGCCTAGCATGGCGCCTTACACAGAGTAGACACTCCTATGTATGGCTGGATGAACTGAAAGCTGGAGAGAGGTAGAGAGGGAGTACCGTGCAAAAGTGCACGACCACAGTTGAGAGGTCTCTTCCCACAGGTCCTCTAAGCAGATCTCTGAATTTCCCACAGCCTTGGTCTCCCCACAGGTCAAACGCAGTAGCATCTTCTCCTAGAGGGCTCACAGGAATGGGAGTTTGCAACATCAGAGGTTTCTAATGTAATCAGATGGATAATGAAAAGGTTCTTCTTCCCTGAGCCTTGAGTGAGTCAGAGCTCTGTGCCTGGCATTGCCCCAGGGAGTACCAAGAAAATGAAATATCCTCATGACACCTAAACAAATGGTCAATTCTGTGGGTCAAATATCAGCCAGAGGGATTAAGAGGCGTCTCCAATGAAGGGAGGAAAGGAGCAGTAGATCATGAACACGGTGCTTAGTGGAGTCCTGGTACATGGCTCCTGTTAAGGCTAATACCTGTTTGCCTTACGATGGGATATGTGTTTTGCTTTCGTGAAAGATGCCGATAAATGACATGTCTGAAATCCACATCTGGACACCTAAATCAAGACATAAGTTCTCAATTAGGTAACAAACTATCTTCTTTTGTAACTAGTGTAAACCAAATCTGTATCTCATACTTGCTCTTTTTTTTTTTCTGGCCTTTTGCCACTGTAGAAAAATGTCGGATAGGCTAAGTTTTCACACTGCAGCTGGTTACTGTGATTATGTAGACACAGTCTCTGTAAATTCAGTGTGTGTTGCTGGCTGTTCAATAGCTGGTAAAATTAATGCCCAGGGAAGTGGGAAATGGGCCGCCACAATCAAAATGTGGACTTCAGACTTGCTTGTCATTTACCCCCCTCTTTCCCTCCCACATCCCTGACTTTGTGCTAATCGCCAGCTTTCTGCCAACTTACTGGCGTTCTCTTCCTCCTCCCACTCTGCCTTGGGAGTAAACCAGTTCAAGAGAAGCGCCATCATCCTAGACTTGAAGATACATGAAGATGATGGGAGCTGAGTGTATGAGACCCCGCTCCCACCCCGACTATGGATGATGCATGGGAAAGGGGGGCAGCCAGGTTGCTGTCTGAGCCCTTTATCCAGCAAAGGAAGCTGACCACTGGAAACCAGAAAATCTCAAAAGATCATCTAGCCCAGGCCCTATCTCCAGACAGATTACTACATGAGCCACCCAAGACAAAGGACAGCCTCTCCTCTTCACAAGGACCCCTGGCAGAAGCCTACCTAAGTTGTCCCCATCTCACATCTCACTGTATAAGTCATGAGTAGCTGTCATGTATGGGCCAGGGAGATGGATTTTGAGAACCAGCTCTGCACCTGAGTAGTTATGGGAGTTCACCAACTTCCTCTACCTCCTGGGCTACCTCCAAAATGAGAAAATGGGCAAGTGAGGGTTCTGCCAGCTCTGGAAGACCTGAATCACTATAAACCTGTGAATCTCTTATTTTAAAACCTTCAAATACAACTTAAGCCAGTCTAATTGAAATAGAAAAAGTGTTTTCAGGGCTCTCTCAACCACAGATTCCTCCTTGAAATTCCATATTTTATGCATTTGAGAGTCTGTAAATTTTGGTGGGAGAAGAATAAATCCTTACATAGGTGTACAATATGCCCCAAAAGAGATTAGGGACCCACCTCTAGGATGAAGAACTGAAGTGTAAATCTTCTTGAATGGTTTCCCGGTTCCCCATCCCTGGACACCAGGCTATAGCGATTATCAAGGGCAGTAAGTATGAAGATGCAGGATTCTGAATGAGAATAAAAGAAAGCATCAGGCTTTACTTTTCAATCTCCAGCTATTACTACCCATTGCTCTGCTGCATGTTTGCTAGCCATACAACCTCAGGAATGCACTAACTGTCTCTGAATCATGGTTTTCTCAACTTTCAGTGGAGCGTGGTATGCTTCTCTTAAAGGTTCTTGTGAAAAATAAAAGAAATTGAGTAAATGCTTGACTATCAGTGGAAACTCAATAAATGTAAGTTTTTTCCCACCACTAGTGGCTCGGATCCCAAAATTGACTATTTTGAAGATAGCTCCATCTATAACAATCAATTAACCCTTATCTCAAATGTAAATTGGTATAGTTATTATAGAAAACAATAAGGAGGTTCCTCAAAAAATTAAAAATAGAGGTATTATATCACCCAGCAATCCTGCTTCTGGGTATATATCCAAAGCAAATGAAGACAGAATCTCAAAGAGATATCTGTACCCCCATGTTCAGTGCAGCATTATTCACAGGAGCCAAGACATGGAAATAAGTGTCCATCAACTGGTGGATGGATGAAGAAGATTGATATATATATATATACAATGGAGTATTATTCAGCCAAGATAAAGAAAGAAATCCTGCCATTTGCAACAACATGGGTAAAACTTGAGGGCATTGTGCTAAGTGAAATAAGTCACACAGAGAAAGACAGATACTACATGATATCATTTATATATGAATCTTAAAAAAAAAAACTCATAGAAACAGAATTAAGTGGTGGTTACCATGGGTTGGCAGGGAAGGACCAGGTGGGGAGACGTTGGTCAAAGCATACAAACTTCCAGTTATAAGATGAATAAGTTCTGAGGATCTAATGTCCAGTATGGTGATTGTAGTTAGTAATACTATATTATACACTTGAAAGTTGCTAAGAGAGCAGATTTTAAATGTCTCACCACAAAAAAAAAGAAATGGTGATTATGTGACATGTTGGAGGTATTAGCAAACATTATGATAGTAATCATTTTTCAATTTATAAGTGTCTCAAATCAACTTACATAATGTTATATGTCAGTTATATCTCAATAAAGCTGGGGGTGAGAATTTACCCCCTTCTTTCTTCTGGGGGAAAAGCGTGACACAGCAGCTAAGTGCTCAACCTTGGATAGACGTGCATTTGAGTTCAGTTCCCAAATTCTCTACTTGATGGCCGTGTGAATGTAGGCAAAGTGTTCAATTTTGCTGCACCTTAGTGTCCCACCTACAGAATGAAATGGTTATGAGAATAGTCTATCTTTCCCAGTGTTGTGAGAAAATATGAAAAGTACTTAGCACGCTGTCTGGGACTGGGACATATGGATAAATGTTAACTAACATGAGGCTCTCCCTCAGCATGCTTAGCCACACCTTCTCTCCTAAGTACCATTCATCCCCTTGGGGAGTGTGTCCCTATAGCTGAATGTCCAACATGGATATCAGGCAGAAAGGGGAAAAAATCAACAAATAATATGGATTCTCCAAGTCCCCTCCCTACCCCTACCCCCACTGCCACCCCCAGATAGCCTACAGTTTGTTGCCATTTCTTTCAGGTCGTGACTCAAACATCACTTCAGTAAAACCCTAAGCACCCAGATAAAATTTCAAATGTGCCCCCAAACCGTTCCATTTCCCCAACCTCGCTTTATTTTCTGTTACACCTGCCCACCTAGCACACATCTCAGAATTTGCCTACTTATTTTTGTCTGTCTCCTCCCACTAGCATGTAAGCTCCCCAAGGACAGAGGGGTCTTCATCTACTTGGTTCAGTTGCTATACCCACAGCACCTAGAGCAGACAGTGTATGCCCGATTAACCATCTGTTTAATGAGTGAGTGAGTGAGTGAGTGACAAGAAGCTTCCCACCAGACAGGCTGCACAGGGAGGTAAGGATGGGGGTTGGTCTCAGACCTGACTCAAGGCCCTCTAACCTGCCTAACCATGGAATTCTGCCTCTTTTAGGTTCCACACAAGTTGCCTAGCCCCTTAAATCTGGGTGCTTACTCCAGATTCCCCTCTTGAAATACAAGCACCCCCACCCCAATTTTGAAACTGCGCGGTGAACAAGAGGGAAAAGAACCCCAGAGAGTCACCCGGGAGGGAGGGGAGAAATGGAGGGCAGGGGGAATCCCCATGCTGAAGTCGCCCTACCCCGCACCCCTCACTGCACACCCTACCGGCTTGCCCCCCGGGGGCGGCGGGGGCGCAGCCGGCCTCGGGGCTGGACTGGGTGGCGGCGTCGGGGCTGCGGGCGCCTTCGCTGGACCCGCATTGCCCCCTAGTGCCGCGCGGAGTCAGGGCGCCGGGTTCCCCCGCCTGATGTCACCGCCGTGCAGTCAGCCCAGAGGCGGCTCATTGAAAGCAGACCCTCCTCGGCGCTGGCTGGGCGGAGGCGCCGCTGTCCGCAGACCTGCCGAGAACCGGGCAGAGCCGGGCGCCCCCTGCCCGACCACCCGCTCCTCCCCGCCGCTCCCCGCGAACCCGGCCTGGTGCGCCTGACGTGGACCATTAAACTTGGAGCTGCCGTTCGTCCCTTCTCTCCTCCTCCTCCCTCTGACAGGCGAGCGAGCGGCTCGGTGCAGGCAGGAGACGTGCTGCCGGGCTGGGCTGCCCGGGGGAGATGACTTCTCGCCAGGAGGGCACCTCTGGGAAGAAGACCACGGGGGAAGCAAAGTTTCAGGGCAGCTGAAGAGCCTTCGCCGCAGCCCTTCTGAGCCCTGTCACCCCCTGGCTATGGAGGGTGGACTCTAAAATGAATCCCGATCTGGACACCGGCCACAACACATCAGCACCTGCCCACTGGGGAGAGTTGAAAAATGCCAACTTCACTGGCCCCAACCAGACCTCGACCAACTCTACACTGCCTCAGCTGGACATCACCAGGGCCATCTCCGTGGGCCTGGTGCTGGGCGCCTTCATCCTCTTTGCCATCGTGGGCAACATCCTAGTCATCTTGTCTGTGGCCTGCAACCGTCACCTGCGGACGCCCACCAACTACTTCATCGTCAACCTGGCCATTGCCGACCTGCTGCTAAGCTTCACCGTCCTGCCCTTCTCTGCTGCCCTGGAGGTGCTTGGCTACTGGGTGCTGGGCCGGGTCTTCTGTGACATCTGGGCCGCCGTGGATGTCCTGTGCTGCACGGCCTCCATTCTGAGCCTCTGCGCCATCTCCATCGACCGCTACATTGGGGTGCGCTACTCTCTGCAGTACCCATCACTGGTCACCAGGAGGAAGGCCATCTTGGCGCTCCTTGGTGTCTGGGTCTTGTCCACAGTCATCTCCATTGGGCCTCTTCTTGGGTGGAAGGAGCCGGCACCCAACGATGACAGGGAATGTGGGGTCACTGAAGAGCCCTTCTACGCCCTCTTCTCCTCCCTGGGCTCCTTCTACATCCCTCTGGCGGTCATTCTGGTCATGTACTGCCGCGTCTACATCGTTGCCAAGAGGACCACCAAGAACCTGGAGGCTGGAGTCATGAAGGAGATGTCCAACTCCAAGGAGCTGACCTTGAGGATCCACTCCAAGAACTTTCATGAGGATACCCTCAGCAGTACCAAGGCCAAGGGCCATAACCCCAGGAGTTCCATAGCTGTCAAACTTTTTAAGTTCTCCCGGGAAAAGAAAGCAGCCAAGACCTTGGGCATTGTGGTCGGCATGTTCATCTTGTGTTGGTTACCCTTCTTCATCGCTCTACCACTTGGTAAGTTGGGGACTGGCCGAGGGGAACTGGGCATCCTCAGCTTTGGGGATTACTGATGAGTTTACTATAAAGTTTTCGTGGGTTTTGGTTTTATTATGCAGTTTGTGTGTGTTTGGAGACTGGGGAATATTGTTTGTTCTGCAAAGGCTTTGCAGATTGGGTAGCTGGCTAAGAACCAACTCAGGTGTTAGCAGAACACGCTAAGGGGAGGTACAAGTTACTCGAAATAGAACCATGGGAGGAAAATCTGGTATGTGGAATGACTCATTCAACAGCCTTGGTTTAATAATTAAAAAGGACACTGGACTTGAACATCATACCAGCATTATTTCAGTTGTAATGATATGTCGGCTAAGGCAGTGTCTGTCACTAATGCAGCATACAAAATAGTTTGTAGTTACCGCAGACACGGCATTTGGGAAGCAGGGAGACAGCTCGGACACAGGAAGGCAGTTTTCATTCAGCATTTCCAGGGCTTTTTCAGAGACCCGTGGTCCTCTAAAGCTTTGCAGAGGCTGCGTTCTGCCCCCATCCCTTACCACTTCCTCTCACCTCCACGTACTCCCTTCATTATGAGTTACTAAGAGCATTTTATACCTCATACCCTCAACCAACCTTAATCTAAAGCTTTGAGATTTGAAAGAGAAGGATGATGGTCAGAGGGTCACCCAAAAATATCCCCAAATGTCCCAAACTCTGATGATTGATGGAATGCCCAGAATTAAATTATAGTTGCCCCTCACCTTCAGCTGCTAGACACCAAATCCTGCTAGTATGAAACTGAGCCCTTCCTAGCCTATAAACATGTGCCCATCTTCATTTGACTGGGGAGTCCTACTAAGTGAGTTGTTCAAAATACTACCTGACTTCCTCTAGGATGAAGCCGAGATATAGTTAGGAGGTAAACCTAGAAGAGGATACTATGACATCCTGTCCACATAGCTCAGGAAACACTTGTCCCTTCTCTGAGGCAGTGATCTGCTTTAGTTTCTTTTCCTGTCCCTGGGGGACACTCCAGAAAATGAATGGAGGGAGGTGATCATGGCAGTCATGTGCTGCGATATCATAAGAGGCCACGGCTGCTACGTGCCACGGCCCACTAATGCTGCAGTCACACCAGGGGCTCAGTTGGAACCAAACATAACCAATCCCTCAAGTCACAAAAATCCTAGACACACTGCTTCCAAAAGAAAGAGCCAAATAGAAAGAGGGCAAGCAGATGTCAGGGGTTTCCGTTTAAGAATGACAAAGAAAAAAAGCTGTTTAACCTACTCTCATATTGTAATTTCTAAGGCTAGCTTTTGAGCTAGTGCCTTTCAGAAATATCTTCATTGTGTTGAGCAGAGAGGGTTTGTAGCTCTATACCCAGTAGCGGTCACATTCCACTGCCCAGCTTTCTTTTCTTTCCTGAGGTCTCAGGGCCCTTTTGCAGGCCTGTCCAGTTAAAGTGGATGTCAGTTCACACTGCCCTGGACCATACAAAGATCATGGTCACACATGGGGTGATTTGGCTACTAATTAGCCTTGGGCAAATGATGACTGCTCTGTGAGCCTCAGTTTCTTCATCTGGAAAGTACGGCTAACTACTATGTGCTGCATGGGGTTTGCACTAGTACATGGAAGGGACTTAATACAGTGTTTGGTGCACAGCCAGTGTTCGATTATAGGTATAATCCTATACCTGTCATTAGAGGCTCAGAAGGGAACTATTGACTAGATCTTATCCTTTCTTCCTTCTTCCCCTGATCCTCAACGATAGAGGCTGTGACCAGAGCATCCTCAGGGAAGACAAGGTCCCAGCAAGATGCGGGAATGGATCACAGTTGCAGACTTCCGCTTTAGGGGCAAGGGAAACAAGTGAAAAGGCTGCCAACATGTTCCAATGGAAAGAGCACTGCCCTGAGGGTCAGGAGCAATAGCATATGTACGTGAGCTTTGCCATCAATTAGCTCTGTGACCCTAGGTGTGCTGCTTTACCTTCTGGGCTTCAGGTCTCACTTCCCGGGAACACCGAGGGCTGGCCTAAATCAAGGGCTCTCAAACTTTAATAAAAATCAGAATCATTTGTGGATCTTAGTAAAAATTCAGCTTCTAAGGCCTAACACATAGAGAAGCTAATTCAGTAAACCCCAGGAATCACATGTTTAACCAGCCCACCACCAGGCTTTGAGAAGCACCAGCCAGGGGATCTCTCAGTTCCCTTTAGCCTCCAGCCTCCTGGACACCAGGGTTTTTAAACACTGCACAGGTTAGCACTTCCCCACCCACACGGTGGTGCAGGGCAATGTGGCTGCTGTCTGCATTCTGCTCTTCATGCCCACCCTCAGTCTTCTCTCCCTTATACTCTTTCAACTTCTGCCCTCTTCTGTCCATCCCTTTCTGAGATCTTATCTTCCTAACAGCTCAGGTCCTTGGCTTCCATGCCACAGAAAGGGAGGCATTCTTGCCACCCAGAGATTTATCAGAGCTTGCTTCTCTTCTGCTTGACTTGAGCACTTTCTGGCCGGCCATTATCTCCCAGTGTGCTGTCCCTGAGCAGGCTCCGTCCACACGCTTCTCCCCAGGACCTCCAGCCCCTGGAGGGTAAGGAATGTGGACTCCAGGCACTGAGTTTGGGATGGACTTCAAAAGTTACTCGAGAGTTTCAAACAGAGAAGGTGCTTGATTAACATGTTCTTACTAATTTAGAAAGAGCATCTGAGCAAAATGGAGATATGTACTTCTACTTCCTCTAAGTTCAGATAGCACCCAAATAAAAGTAACATGATATAGAACAATAACCCCTTTGGAATCTGAAGCAGATTCTAAATTCTAAATTTTCCATGAAAGGCTTTTCACTCTAAAGAGGAGAAAGCAAATCTGGGGGGAGACAGTGGCTGGCAATCAAAGAAGTCCAGGTAGGAGTAGACTTCCAGTGGTGATAGACAGCCAGGTGCCTGGGCGGCACCAGATTTCCGTCTCTGTGTTTTTCTTCTCCATGGGAGAGGAAGGTTGGGATTCCTCCTGGGAAGGAAATAACTTTGCCTCCTACAGGGTCCTGGTTAGGGATACCATTTGTTTTCTTTCCTCCCTCATTTTTATTTTGGAGAGCATGGTTGGGCTGCCTGCAGAGACAGGCCTCCTATCTCCCTGTGGAGCCCTCCCCACCTGTAACAACCTCCCTATCTCCTCCCCACCCTTTCCCTGTGGCTTCAACAGAGTTGGGCCAGGGACCAGCTCTCACTTACTCAGGAGCAGGGATGGATCCACCAAACAAGAACGCCTTTATTCAGCCCCTGGAATCAGGCCACGGAGGGACAGGAAATAATAGGAATATAATATAGCAGCTTTTCTACTTGATGGGCCATGTGCAAGATGTCCAAGCAGTCTTCAGCTGCCTGGCATTATAATGAAGGCCAACTCCCACCCTCCTGGGGTGGTCAGGGTTCAAGAAGTGCCTGGGCTATTGAGGGATGTGCCTTGCCCTGGGGAGGGTGGGGGGAGGGGTTTAAGATGGGCATGGGGTGGGTAGCAGGAAGTGCTGGGCAGCCAACTAGTAGCTGAGCTTGGTGTGTTGTTTAGAAAACACTGGAACCTTGCCTCGTTCCAAATCTTTCTTCCGTCTTTTAAAATGCTGAAAGGCACCAGGAAGCCATTATTGAACTAACTGCTTTCCCCTCCAAATAAATGAAGGTCAATTTCAAAGAAACAGTTGTGCTCTCTGTAGTACTGGAACCAAATCGGAATCCTTCTGTCCATTGATTTGGTTCTCCAGTCCTCTCATTCAGATCAGGCCTGATGAATTTCCACCTCCCACAGGAGCATAAGGGAGGGCGGGGGTCTCAAGGATAACTCAGGGCAGAGCCACCCCCACAAACATATGAAATTTCTGGTTCTGAGGTTTCAAAACACAGGGATTTGAGTTGCTCACAAGGAAAGTAACT